CTGGGGCCCGCAGCTGACCCTTTGGCTCTGGACATAATCTTGGACAGGAGGGATCTGGCGGGTGGCCCCTGCGGGACGGGCCGGCAGCGCGGCGTGGGCGGCGCCTCGGGGGCTGCGGCGGGCACCGGGCTCTCCCAGTCCTCCTCCTCCAGGTCATCGATGTCAAAGGCATCCAGCTCCAAGTCAGGATGGCTCGTGCCCAAGCTGTTCCCTGCAGGACTGGCACTGGGAGCTGTGCTCTGGCCCTTCAGGGCTGTGCTGGTCAGGGGCTGGACCCCGCTCCTCGCTCCCGGACTTCTGTCCCAGCTGCTGTCGCAGGACGGGAGGCTGAGCCTGAGGGACGCTCCCTCCCTGCCACCTGCCCTGGGACAGGGCATCTCCTCAGCACCCTGCTTTGAAGCACAAGAGCTGTCCAACGTTTGGTTGGTTTTGGCAGAAGAGTTGCTGGAACGAACAGAAAGCACCGATGGGAGGTTTGTGGATTTGGGGGAGTTTCTGTCAGAACTGAAGCTCCAGCTTGGGCCAGAACCCGGACCTGCACCAGGACACACACGAGGGCCCTGCTCCATGGGAGACTTCCAGCTTCTAGGAACAGTGGTGTTTATGCCATTTTGGTTCAAACCGGCAGAACTAGCCAGCAGTTTTCTCCTGGGAGAGATAACAAGGGAAGGAAGAATGAAAAAAATATATATATTTAGTCTTTACCAAGTTCTCCAACATTCATTAAACAGTTTGGTCTCACTGCTATTAAACATCTTAACATATGGTGGTTCCGTCGTGTTCTGAGTCACCATGTTTGAAAACTATTTCAAACAAATCTAGGGAAGAGAAAATACCACCAGAAGAAACTAATGACAAAACTGTGACATCATCTCCACAGACAGAATATAAAAGAATTCCTAAAAGCAAGGAACACGTCCAGGCCAGGTAGAATATAAAAAATAAATCCTTAAGAAGCCAAACTTGAAGTTAAAAGTATGCCTGAACCAAATCATGTTTTCAGGTACTTTCTAAAGACTATGTCTGAGTACAGCAATGAGAAATAAAATAAGTTGTTGTACTGAGAACATTTGCAGAAGCTCATAGTCCCAGTGCAGGAATAATCTAACCAAAATCCCAAATCCCAATGCTTTGCCCATGCATTGTGCCATCAGCTGACACAGCAGGCAGAGCAGCAGGTCGTGGCAGCAATAATTGCACTGGAAGATGACAAGTTCAGGGATATTAGGAGAAATCCCCATCCCTGCAGTCAGCGAGAGGGGAGACAACACCAGCTGAACGCCCGTGGCAGGAGAACTGAGGAGGACACCCGGCAGGTCACATCACATCACCTGTGGGTGCAGAAGCACCTGGTGCCAGCTCCTCCTCAGGCTGCCCGTGGAACTGGATCCTCCCTCTGGCAGCACACAGGGACCCCCAACACTTGCAGCAGTTTGGGGTATTTTGTTCCCTCCCTCGGTCCGCGTTCCAAGCTTTTTAAATCCCGTCCTGCCCCGTTCTCCGGTGTGCTGGGGACACCTGCAGGCGGCTCCCTGCTGCCCACGGAGCTGCTCCAGCCTACCTGAGCTCCCTGTGCTGCAGCAGGGCGCGGGCACAGCGCAGGGCCTGCAGCTCCTGCAGGGGGATGGCATCCACCAGCTCGCAGATGGCCTCCATGACTCCGAGCAGCCGCGGGGCCACGGGCACGGCCTCACCTGCCACGGGGAGGGAGCTCAGCACAGTCATTCCCACAGAACTGCTGTCACCAGGACACCACCCTCACCGAGGACAGTGCATTGCACTAAATCAGTCTAAACAATTTACTTCCAACATGCTTTTAGTCCAGGTGCATAAAGAAACTGTTTCTGTGTGCAGGAACTCAATGAATCGACATATTTTTGCCCTTGTTTATTATTATCTGTCTATAATCCAACTACTTATGTCAACTCTCCAGCTACAGATGTTAATTCTCCATCTGTTAATGTTCTTGGATTACAGAGGATAATAAATAGTTGCAAACTATCCCCAAAATCAGAGATATGACATTCCAAAGCATTTGTGTACCTGAATCCCCTGCACTGGGATCACCTCCAGGATGTGTTGTGGGAACTTTCTCCTGCCTGGCCTCAGAGCTGCCAGGTGTGCACCTTCCTCCAGTGGGAGAGTCTCTGAAAACACTGCTAACACCAAAAGAAAAAGCCATGAAAATACAGGTATCTGTAAACAGAGGCACTTCCACAGAACAGCGGGATTTAAGATGTGTGGAAAAGATAAATTCCTGAAGGCCCAGGCAGAACCCAAGAGCTGAGCAGTCCAATCCTGGGTTCCAACATGTGGAATTTTCTCCCATCCCACTACAGAAGTTACTCTGCTTTTTTCTGACGCGAAAGCTGCCTAAAACATCAGCCATAAAACTAGCATTTGCTAAAGCATTAATTGCATTTGCCAGCCATCAACCTGCCAAGCAGCAGAGACACGAGCTCAACCTGTGCCTCTTTAACAAGCAGGAGTTTTGGGCTGGTTTTGGTACTTTTCTACTTGTGCACCAGCCAGATGTTCCAGCAGTGAGCTCTGATTACCTGGCACTTTGTACAGAGGGGGAGAAGGGAGGCAGCTCCTCCTCAGGGGAGGGAGGGATGATGTCCAGGTCATCCTCCTCCAGCTCAGCACCTGCCCACGGCCAGCTGGCCTCATCCAGTTCTGGGGAGCTGTTCCCAGCCCTCTGTGGCTCCTGGCCCTGACCCCCTTCAGCACCAGCAGCTGCAAGAGAAGTCATTGATATTGCTGGGTAGCACTGCACACTCAGCCTGCCACAAACAGGGGGAAAATAGCAGCCAGACTTCAAAACACTGATACACATTCTGACTTCCAAAGGATAAAACTTGCTGCTCCCTTTTGTCCCCCATTAAAACAGACAAACAAATCCCCACAAACCCCCATTTAAGTGGAAAAGTGATACAGCTAAACCTACAGTCACCTGTCCCTGGCAGAAGTGAAGCACTGAAGAGGTCTATTTTTCTGCAACAGTTTTCAATAAAAACAATTTCTATAAAAATCTGTTTCTATAAAAAGCTCCTATTATATTAAATCCCAGCCTTAAAAGAGTGCAGACTCATCAGCTAGCACAATCCCTGTACTGGAATTGGCAGGTAAATGTACATGTATTGTCTTAAAAGACAAATCCTACAAAGAGAGGTCAATATCATTAACTTATTGAAATTAATTTCGCAGAGAAAGGAAAAGACAACAAAATATTAAGAACAGAAATACAGTTCACAAATCTTTTCACCACTCAGCATAAGGGCAGCATCCCGGAACACTCTTTGAGGTTATTCAGTTGCATAAACATGGTAATTTCCCAAATAAAGGTCCAAAGTTTCAAAACACAGCGGGTAAGAAATCTAAAATAAAGCAGTTCTGTGGGACAGAGCTGCCAAAGCAATGACAGGCAGGAATTTTGTGATCATAACTGAGGGTTGGAGCTCTTTTGTGTTTATGTTTGTGTTAAAAATGGAGAGCGGTCACTTTTTCTGGTTTAGTACTTCATTTGGGTGTAAGATGACTATACGTCTGCCCTGTATTAATTTTCTGAGTGCTTTTCTCTCCACAACATTCCTGTAGATTATTAACCATTTCAGGAATGCCATAAGCCTTTGTGACTGCAGTACATGAGCAGCTGCTACCCCTGCACGGGCAGAACGCTGCCGTGCTCCCAGGCTGTGGGTACCCAAACGGAACCAGGGCTGCCTGCCAGCGCCGAGCTCGCAGCCCCCCGTGATTCCTGAGCGGCCAGGCCAAGCCAAGCCCCGGGGCGCACACAGCGCTGATCCCCCAGCTCGGTCCCCGCACACAGCCGTTACCTGGGCGAGCCCCGGCGCTGCCCGCACCCCGGGCGGGCTCGGCAGCCGCCTGCTCCCCGCAGCCGAGCCCCGCAGCCGAGCTGCCGCTGCAGGGAGCCGAGTCCTCCAGGCAGATGACGGAGCGCTGCGAGCAGGGGCTCGGCTCGGGCCGCGGCGCTGCCCCGCTGCCGGCGGGCCCCGGGGCGCCGGGAGAGCCGCGCGGGGCCGGCCGGGGGCTGGGCCGCGGGGGCTCCCCGCCGGCCGCTCGCAGGCCCCTGGGGGACACCACGGCCGGCCGGGAGAACTTCTTCTCGATTCCCGACAGGTCGAAGTCGTCGATGTCATCCCACTCATCGTCGACGGTGATAACGGGGCCCGCAGCGCAGCCGGGGCCGGCCTTCCCGGCGGGAGCGGCGCTCGCCGGCCTCGCCCCGGCAGCCGCGGGGCCCTCGGCCGCCTCGGCGGGGCCCGGGGGGGCACAGGCCGGCCGTGGGCCGGGGCTGCGGGGCGGAACACAGCCCCGCGGCGGCGCTTTGGCGGCCGGCGGAGCCGAGGCGGGCAGGGCCAGCGAGGTGTTCACGTCCTTGTCCCTCAGCACCGCGGCCAGGCCCCGGGGCGCCTTCTTGAAGGTGAAGCCCCTGCAACGAGACGAGCCCCCGTCACTCCCCGGCCGCGGCGGCCGCCCCGCCCCGCGGCCCAGGCGCGGTACTCACGGCGGGC